GAAAACCTTTTGTGATTGCTGCACAATTGGTTTTTTTGATCGTTGTATCCTGGAGGTGATTGTCCACAGAGGTCGCAGCAGTTATCGACGGGCAATTTGGCTTTAGGACATCGTGCTGTCACGAGACTCGATCTATTGATAAGTTTTTCTGCACTTTACTGTTATTTTCTATTATTTAACTAATTTGGAGCAAACAAAGGCTGAAGATGGTCCCTAAAAAAATGGTAGGTTTTGTGTGATTTTATTAATTATTTTAATTTGAGAAATGTTTAAATTCATTTTCCTTATTTTGAGTTTTATGTTTGTTTTCGAAAGCTCATTTTTTTTTTTTTAATAACATACCATACACGTTTTGAGTGTTTAGAAATCTGGAAGCTTAAAATGAGCACTCTAACTATTTTCCAGATTACTCCAGAAATAATTTTGTTTTCTTTTTTCCATATCATCATGAACATCTTCCTTGATTCATTTAGTAAATAATAAGTCAAGTTTTGAATGAATCAAAAAAGAGCTCAAGACAAAAGAATTTTTTCTCATGACAACTCATTATCATTCTCGTTTGTAGATAACAAATTTTAGTGAGACGAAAGTTGTAAGATAAGAGATTATTCCACTTTTAATTATGCATTAGCGCATATAAAATGGAAAATATAATATATTATTACAAGCTTGTCACAGAAAATCGACTTTTTAAAATTAATTCACTGAAATTTTCATCATCATTTTTTTACTCATTTTCAACCACACATTTTCTTCAAAAAAATAATATTTTCCATCACATCAATAATTGTTCCTTTTTTTTCAACCACACATTCTCTATTAATCTACTATTCTAAAATATATCTTCCAAAATAATGTAGTTCAAACACACCAACCTTGAAAGTAATAATAAATCGTTCTAGATTATCGTACACTACAATAGAGTCGTGTTCAAATTTTCTCTCAATAGACAACTGGATGTCTATTGTCATGTCCTTCATAATAATTGTAGACTATTTTTTTTTTTTGTTTACAAATTAGGTTTCCAAATTGTGGAACTATGAAAATCAATTTAAGCCCATGGCTTAGTATAATTTAAAGTGTTAGGTTTTGTTAGACGCAAAATCTAGAGCAGTGTTGAACAAAGGTCGAGCAAAGTCACGAAGTTGATTGAATATGTTTGCGCTAGTTATGATTGGAGTGGTGGCTAAAATCAAGATAAATTTCAGGAGAAAGAAGATTATCATGACGAATGCAATAAAAACCAGATTCCCGTCATAGAAGATTGATTTGTCCATGTTTTGCCTTTGTTTCGGTTTTATTTTTATTTTTTTGTTAAAATTATAAGTTGGTAGTAATAGTGGCGGATAAATAGATTGTATTTGTGTGTTCTACGAAATGTTTGACTAAAATTAATATTCGACTTTGAACATAAACTTTTTTATAAAAAAAATAAAAAATAAACCCCAAACAAAGGCTATATATGCCTTAAAACTCGAATGTCGAAAAGAAATTGGATGCAGGGTGCAATGGTAAGTTTTTACCAGAATCAAGCATGGGAGAGTTACACCATCGTTCCTCAATTTATTGTTTCAAAAGAAAGTTGGTCCTTAACATTTAATAAGAAAGAGTTGCTTATCGATAATTTATTTTGAACCGCATATTCTAAGTGGGGGGAAATCACCCATCACTGTGTAAAATAGTCACCTAATTATTGTAGGATATCCAACTTTATAAAGTTGAGATTTAAGAATAATTGAGAGTTTATTATTTAAAATATTAAGATCAAAAGTGACATTCTAATTTTTTTGGAAATAATGTCGGTAACGCTCATCTTGAACTTTCGCAGTAATTGCCATCAGACCCACTTGCATTTCTTACGAATGTTTCTAGAAGAAGTACGTTTAGTTTTAGTCCCTGTAGATAAAAATTAGATTTTTAGTAGATTTTTGATAAAAATTGATGAAATGTGTGGTTGAAAATTGTGGACACAATAAAATATTTGATTAAAATTAATTGTTAACCTTAACTTAAATTTAAAATTGAATTTTAATCAGAAATAAACAGGGCTTAATCCCTACCAAACAGATGTTACATTTACTAAGAACCATTATGCAAGTATAGATAACTTTCACTTTTTTTTTTTTAACAGATAAACACATGGCAGAATTTCATTGATTTTTTGTCAAAATAGACAAAAAAAAAAAAAGGATAATTGTTAAAAATAATTGAAGATAGATTCTACTTAAAAATAATTTTGAGTTTGATCACGTAATTAGTGATAAGACACTAGAATGAAATGATCGAAAGTTAGAATTTGATCACGTAATTAGTGATAAGACACTAGAATGAAATGATCGAAAGTTAGAAATTGATCACGTAATTAGTGATAAGACACTAGAGTGAAATGATCGAAAGTTAGAAACAGTTGATTAATAAAGTGACGAGATTTTATCAACAATTAAGTTGTGGATCTAAAATTAATTGTTAATTTTTACTTAATTTTTTATCAGCTGGAACCGGGGTTTACTTCTAGCATTGCAAAACTTATAATATATTTGGAATATAAACAAAGTAATTTTGAAAGTTTTTTAATTTATATATACAGTTGAAGTAATATTGTTTTAGTAAATGAGTTATGCTATATGTACAGATTCATTTTGTCATATAGGTGCCCGATTCACAGTCGTCAGAATTTCATTAGCAGTTGTGTCAAAAATATTTTTCAACCATCCAATCACATATTGCCAAATTATTTTGGCATGGCGAATTTGGTAAGTAAATCTGTACCGATGACTTTTCCCTATTATATAGCCTTGAGAGAAACACTAATGTTACTCGAACAGGGTTGTTGACGAGAACTTCAAACAGGATCCACCTTTAGCCTTTGACTTGAATTGCATCAACAATCTTGATTTGAAATAAAGAAAGATTATAATGGTTGTATATGGCCACATAGGCCATGTACTTAAGTAGGCTGTAAATGAATCGGATATTGATTGAATCTGTCTATATTCGATCTGATCCAATAATTCAACGAATATTTGATTATTAAATTCATATCCGATTTACTATATTATTGAATATCCGATCCGAAATTAATAAAAATTAGGGGAAAATCAATGCTCTTTTGAACTAATTTGATGTTCACATATTTTTACTAGCAAACTCAATAGTGACTTCTACTATCATGTTATTCCTTTTTAAAGGAGGAAAATCATCTTCTAGTTTTCTATTAACATTCGATGTATGATAAAATAAAATTGANCTAAAATTAAAAAAACAAATCTATTATTTTTATAATAGTTTACAGCTATGTGTATAGTTATTTATTCAATTTGACAGCCAGTTCGATGTCGATTCGATCTCGATTCGATTTTTTGACCATTGATCCTCTTCCTTTTTTGGGTTGATACCCGAGTCGATTTTTAAAACATTCGTTGAAATCAAATTGTTTTTTTCTTCAAAATTTCCAATTCTTAAACAAGTTCAATAATTATAAATTTTTCAACTTTTTTATATTTTAAATTTGATTACTTTTTTTAGTTTAAATTTATTTATTTTTCCATTTATTTATTTTAATGACATACAAATAATATGTCATAAAAATATTTTACTGACTTAATTATTTATAACAAATCGGATCGGATTGTTATCGAATCAGATCAACCTATATCTTTGATCAATTTAATTAACGGAGTATCGAATTGAGACTCTAAATCCATCTCCTATTAATTTCATCGAATTCGAATCAA